CCTCTGCCCTTAAGACTGATGATTTGACTGAAAAGCTATGATACACATGTTTCAGTGTATCTGCTGTTTGCCACTACATCATAAAAGTATGAAAATGAAAACGATGGTTAATCCCAGCCTCAGTTTGGTTAAGCTTAAGAACCAAACTCATGACAACTCAGTACAGCTTAGGAAGCTTCCACAGAGTCACGTCATTTAAAAAGGAGCCTTGGCTGACGAACTGTTCAGGCCATGCAGTGACTTGTGCTGATGTGGGTGGGTTGGGCTTACACTCTGCGGGGAGGACAGGCACACAGGAAGGACCAGCAGCAGGACAAAGGTCAGGGCCTGGCAAAGAGTCAGCTTCCTAGAGACAAAGAGAGAAACAAACCCCGTCAGTCGCTTGGTGACGTCGCCCTTTGCTGTTTCACACATCACATACACATGAATGAAGAGCCGCAGACGTAAAGATGTACATGTTGTTGCAAACATGTTTGAGCAGGAGACCGAGAAGACAAAAGAGGATAGAGGAAGAAAAGGCACTGCTGACACTTCAAACAGACGAGGTCTTTAGGTCAGTGATAATATACACAAATAAGCTGCCATACTACCCTGAACCCCTGAGGGCAGCAGCCAAGGTCAGGAATGTCCCCCGATTCAGTAAGTATCATTCGTTCCCCCCACCCTACTCCCCCAACTCACCCCCACAGTGCCATATTAACTCCCACAGATTCTGAGAGGTGGTGACTGCCCGCCTTGCTGTCCCACCACTCCCCTCGCCTTACCTCCCACTCAGCTGCTGACCTTTAGCATCAAATAATCCACATGAAACCTTTTCTTTTCTCTGCTGACATCAACTCACTGTACATTCAATTTTAGCCTTAACAGATAATTTTGTTGATGATGGATTTCTTGAATATATCAAGTACTAATAAGGCTGAACTAAATATGTTCAGATGACCTGTTTGCTTGAATAGATCAAGTCTTTCTGAAGGTGGCAAGTCAGAATTCAAGAATTGGAGCTGACCAAGTTAGAATTCAGACAAAGATGGTGACAAAGCTGACACTGATGCTTGTTTTTTGTGGTTTCTTTTTTTTGCAGTCTTTGATCATTTTATTTGGCACAGATACAAACATTTTGCTTTTTAAACCCTTTTATCTCACACTGTCTGACTTTGTCTGACTCAGTCGTCAGTACAGCAACCTGCTCAAGCATGAAGGTACACTGTTTGACAAAACTGTACCGACTCAAAGTCGACTTATGTACTTTTCTGGATTATTCAACCATATCCCCCAGCCTGTCTTCATCCACTTTAAGCACTTTTAGGACTTCTAAGAATTACATCTTGAACTTTCTTCGACATAAACAAGAGCAACAGTGACATCCTTTTAGGGTGAAAATAAGTAAATTGGAATTTATTTCAGATTGTTTCTAAATTGTAATGTAATATTAAAGTGAAATGTAATATTTGAACCCAGGATTTCCACTAGAGATTATTTTAATCTTCTGAATGATTTTGTGAATGATTTTGAAATGTAGTGACCAGATGTGCAAAGCTTGATCAGACTTACATTTAGTAAATGATGCTGACCTTACAAATCTGAAAATGACAGGTTTAACCACTGAATAAATGAATATATTTTTAATTCAAAAGCAATTCTAGGTAACTGCAGTAACACCACTGTGAGGCGGTGAGATTCTACCAGATAAAGTCTCTGTTGAGCTTCACGGTGACTGTGTTTTCTGCCTCATCTCCTTCCTTACCTCCAGGTTAAACTCAACAATGACACATCCATCCTCTGATTCACCAAAGGACGACTGCTTTCTTCTGAGAAGTCTCAGTGATTCTGGGAAAAGCTCTTTGATTGCTTCCTTGCGCTGCTTTGTAGACAGTCACAGTGTGTCATACTTTTGAGTGTTTTGTGATGGAACATTTTTATTTTCATTAAGACAAGTCGACAAAATAAAAATGCCAGACAGATTTCATTTGTGAACGGCAACTCAATATCCTCCATTTCTTTACTTGTGCCCTCTCCCCCCACGTCTCAGCTCATCTAGCTCTCTATGCGTCTCTTATCTTTCCCCTGATCATAAACACTGAGCTGCTCTAAGGCTTTTGGAGTTGGCTGTTGGCTCAGTCCCAGGTCAGTAGGTTGCCCTGTCCAATTAAACGATACACATCTCACTACATCTCCCTCACACTTGGCTGGGCAGCCCTTCCCTTCGGAGACTCGGCTGCTGTCCTGGCCTTACATGGGAGAATTCTTATCAGAGGAAAAGAGAAGGTCGCAGTGACCAAAAGAGGAGAATGTTAATCACGATTAAAGGAAGAGGCCTTCACAATTTTATACACATTTCCACTGTGTACACAGCTCAAGAGCCACTAGATTTGCAAGTTTGGTGTTTTAACATCAAATCATACACTTGTACTAAACAATATTAAATCCATATTAGTCATAGTTTGTATGTGACACGCCACATCACACAGAAACATCCACATGGAAAGCAAAACAAGGTTTTCTTTTGTTTTTCTTAACGGTTCTGTTAAGCTGTTAA